CCCCCCCCAGCCTCTCAGCAAATGGCATCAGTCCAGCTGGAGGAGTGCAGTTGGCAGAGTCCCTCGCCCTTTGCAAGCACCTGGAGGAGCTGATGTGAGTGTGCGCCCAGGTGGACTGCCCTCTGCTTTTTGTGTCCCCACAACCACCTGGCCCTTATCTCCACCAGTAGGCACAGGGCAAGGGTCCCGAGCAGGCTACCCCGGTGCTCAACTTCATCCCTTGTCTTCCTCCAGGCTTGGCTGCAATGCCCTGGGGGACCCCACAGCCCTGGGGCTGGCCCAGGGGCTGCCCCCGCACCTGAGAGTCCTGCAGTGAGTGTCTCCATCTGTGGTGTGTGCAGGGCTGGTGGGCAGGGTTCCTCTAGGAGAGCTCAGGGATCAAGGTCCCCATGGGTTGAGCTGCCCTGCCTTCAGGCAAACTGGCGTGTACTGTGGCTGGCTGCCCTCTCTCCCTGTTCCTCCCCTGCCTCTGGAGTCTGGGGCAGGGAGATCAGGAGCCATAGCCTTGTCCTGGCTCCGCCACCAGCCTGTGTGCCCATAGCCAAGGCCCTGCCCCTCTGAGTCTGTTTCCTCATCTGGAAAAGACTTACAAGGATCCCAGCTCAGCATGAACCTGAGCCCATCTCAGGGTGAGTAAGGAAGTGTCAGCAATGGGCTATGCAGGAGAAAAGCGCCAAGCAGCATGGCCCCAGCACTCTACAGTTTATGTCCATGATCTTGTTGGAACCTCACAGCAGACCTGCGGGGCCGGGATTTCTATTTGCTACATTTCCAGGCAACAGAACTAAAGGCAGGAGAGGTGTGGAGAGCTTACCTTACTAATAATGAAGGAGCCAGGCCTTGAACTTGGGATCTCAGACTCCAAGCCAGGGCCCTGATACCCACCCAGGTCCTATGTGGGTGGGGTGGAGGCTTGGGTGGCTGTTACCCAGAGACCATCCAAGATCTAGCGGTATAACCTGAGACAAGGTTGTGTGTGAGTGGGGTGTCCTGACCCCCCAGCCCCCACATCTGCTTCCCTAAGACTCCCCTCACTCCCTCCCCTTTCCCCAGCCTGCAGTCCAGCCGTCTGGGCCCAGAGGGAGTGCTGAGCCTCAGCCAGGCCCTGGATGGATGCCCACATTTGGAAAAGATCAGGTGAGTAGAAGCCATGGAGCCTGGGCAGGGGGACAGGCCAGGGAGGTTCTGGAGTTCCTCTCACAGATGTCTCTCTGCCCTGCAGCTTGGCAGAGAACAACCTGGCCAGACAGGTCCCACATTTCTGTCAGGGGCTCCCACTACTTAGGCAGATTGAGTAAGTAGCCTCCCCTGACTACCTGGTGAGCTGGGGTGGGGGAGTGGGGAAGGTAGCCCTCTCTGAAGCCTGGAAGGCCTTGGAAGTGACTCAGGTCCAGGGAGAGCCTGGCGCCAAATGGGGCACTTTTCTAAGACTCCCACATGCCCCGGACCCTGGTCACTCCACTCCCTCCAGCTCAGATTACAGCATGGGGAGAGGGGGACTGGGGAGGTGCCCCTGACTCAGACACCTCCACCCAATCCCTTTTCCTGCCCTAGCCTGGTTTCCTGTGAGATTGACAACCAGGCTGCCAAGCCCCTCGCTGCCAGCTTCGTGCTCTGCCCAGCCCTGGAAGAAATCCTGTGAGTGGGAAAAGCAGGCATCTGGGGTGTGGCCTTGACCCGCTGTAGGGCCTGGAACTGGTTCTTTCCTCCCATTTCTAATGGGGAAGGTCATTCTTGCTCAGATCCCCTCTCAAGGAAGCTTTAACACATGAGCTGCAAGGGAGGTTGGGCCAGGTCATTCAGCCTCTCCTGCCCTTCCTCACCTGTGGAGTGGTAGGAGGGAAGTGGACCACATGGTCCCTAAAGGCTCTTTGCCGTGACCTTCCCTTTGGGGGGTGGCTGGATAGACCACCTCACCTGGTTTATGGAACCCTGATTTCCGAACCATCTGTGGGTAGCAAAGAGTAGTTGAAGCCAGCAGGCCCGGACCCGCCCACTGGCCTTGCCCCCCCCCCCCCC